ACTTGATAAAATTAACAACTAAGTTGACGATTTTTTTCATCAAAGTAATTTATATCTTTTTGCATCAAATAATATGACGGTGATGAAATTATTTGAAATTTTTGCCAATCAAGAGAATTAATTTCTTCTTGTAGAGCCAAAATTTCACTCTTGCGCTAATAAATTTCATCATTACAACGCCGAATTATTCTTTCCATATTACTTGTCATTTCATTATGTTGGCAATAGACGGTAGATCATTGTCATAATATTGACAATCATTATACATGGAAGATGAGGTATTCCAATAATAATTCATAGCCATTAGAACATTGTCACTCCATTAGTAGTTTGCATCTATGGGTGCATAAGATGCAAATATGCCACTTGATGGCATAATTTCTTGGTATTTTATTTGTATCATTTTTTTTCTCCAACTTAGGAGGATGTCCCACTGGGCACGCCAAATATTGTTACAAACAAACTAATTTTCATAAACAACAGGATCAAGCAATGTAGTTGATTGTCTTAATGCCTTGACAGGTTCAAGGATTTCTTTGGAGGTTTACTTCTTGAAAAAAGAAAAAAAGAAAAAAAGAAGTAAATATAACTGAAAATCGACTGAAAACAGTAAAACTTGTCACTTTAAACACAAGGATTAAATTCCAAGTCTTTTAGTATTACAATTGGCAGGACTTTGAACCAACACTAACTGCTACTCCTTGTTACAAGTCTTGCTACTCCTAAACAGACTAGATTATTCCTAAGATAGAAAAAAAATGAAAATCAAATAATGTATTGATTTTTGTTGGTGATCTTTTAGCCATCAATGGCAATTTATACCAAAAAAAAATATATATATATATATATATATAAGAAAAAACTTCTATTAATCATCATCTAACCACCCATATAACTACAATCTTCTTACATTGCTACTTGTCCTCCATCCCTTGAATTTTCAAAATTTGATTTAACTTCTCTTAACTTTCAAGATTTTCCTGCATAATCATAATAATAATAAATAATAGAAAGCTTAAACCTATTTATAATTGACAAAAAATTTATTTATGGTGCAAACACATCCTTTCATAATTTGTGGTACACTCAAATAATAAACAAATCAATTCAATTAGGTTCATCTCAATTCCATCTTAGGTTCATTAAAATTCAATCCTCAACCTCTTATTTATTTATTTATTTATTTTGATGTTATTTACATGTAATCTTGAAATGGCGATTGTTTGGTGGTTTTTGAGACCCATGGAATTGTTTTTCTCAGGTGTTCTTGTGTGAGAATTGAGTGATTTTAGGGTTTGTGTAGGAGAAGAGAATTTGAGGCCGTGGAAGGATGGAAAGCGCCACCGCCTGCAAGTGAGGTGCTAACGAGCACACTTGTGTTGGCGGCGAATAGGATGAAGAGAGTGAACATTCTTCGCGAGTTTAATTGATATAGAGGTGCAATGGTTGATTTCAATAAATTAAAAAAAAAACAAAAATAAAACACTGATATTGATAATAATGATGAGTTTTGGTGAGGTAGATTGGAATTTTTTGAGTGAGGAAGAAGATAGAGATTTTAAGATGAAGATAAAGAGAAAATAATTGAAACTTGGAGAAGAAGATGAAAAATACTTGAATAAGAATATGCATAAGTAATTAGGGTGTATCATGAGGGAAAAAAAATTATTCTAGAGTTTAATGTGTATTGTTCTTATTAGTAAATTTACATGGGGTATAATAAGAATTAAAATTTCAAAATTTTGGTAAGACGTACTGAATTATATTTGGATGCAAATAGAATCACCCACAAGTTAGGCCTATGTTACTCGTGTATATATTATCAAATTGCTTAAAATTCAAAATTTTTAAACTTTTATTTATATTCTTAAAATCTAGATTTAAATATCAAAGCAAATTAAAGGATATACTTTGAATTTAAAATTAAAGGATATACTTTTTAAATAATTTATTTAAAAATATTACAGTAAATTAAAGGAATTTTAAAATAATTTATGTTAAATTTGAAATCTATATTTAAAATATTAGAGTAAATTAAAGGATATACTTTTTTAGTAAGTAATGTTAAACTCGTTCATTTTATTTGTAAACCTAGATGCAACCTATCAAATAAGGTAAGATTTTCTCCACATCCATTATGTGGATGGATGGTGTTATTCGGGTTCATGATGCCCATTATGATTCTCATTCGAATGATCTGATTCATTCATTTTTAGGCCTACGTGTAATTGATTCAATAAGAAAGAATACTCACATGATTTCATTGCATTTTTAAAGAAAAATATGATGAAATCATGAATTAATCTAATAATATAAAAACTTAAAAGATAAATTAATCAAACTATCACATTAAGATCCACAATGAGTCCAACAGACGTGAACAACAAGATTTTCTCCAAATCCATTATGTGGATGGATGGTGTTATTCGGGTTCATGATGCCCATTATGACTCTCATTCGAATGATCTGATTCATTCATCTTTTAGACCTACGTGTAATTGATTCAATAAGAAAGAATACTCACATGATTTCATTGCATTTTTAAAGAAAAATATGATGAAATCATGAATTAATCTAATAATATAAAAACTTAAAAGATAAATTAATCAAACTATCACATTAAGATCCACAATGAGTCCAACAGACGTGAACAACACTGCCCAAAAGAGAACATGTTCCCCCTTACCAAAAACACAATTTGTGTAAGTGTTCATTTTCAACCATTTTTTGAAGTTCGAAATATCAAAGTAGCACTGCAATCGTAGATTATAGGGAGGGGGCATATGTGATGCAATGCAGCTTTCACCCATGCATGCCATTCCCATCCAAAGACTACAAGACAAACACATGAAACTAAAGAGAGAGATGGAGAGAAAAAGAAGGGGAAAAAAGAAATGTTAATACACTTTTTATATATATATAAGAGAGAGAGGTAGAGAATGTTGGTATGTTTGTTTATCATTGTGCATATATTATGGTTCAATCAAAGCATCGTGACCTCCTATGATTATGTCATTCCCATCCAAAGACTCCAAGACAAAACATGAACTCAATCAAAAGAGAGAGGGAAGGAGGTGGAAAAAGAATGTTAGTACACATTTTATGGGTAATAATATATAAATAGAAAAAAATATATAAAATTAATCTATAGAATGACATGATTATGTTAAGATATACAATTTTAAAATAAAGTGTTCATTTAATGATTTTTAATTACAGAAATGTTACAGTCACATTATTTTAGTGACAAATCCTATGTAGAAATTTCGTATGAGTTGTGTTTTTCTTATTTATATGAAAAGGTCTATGTTACACACCATGCAAAAGGTGTATCTTACGTCCTAGTTATGAATAATGTTAGGTCATATTTGTTTGGGTGGACAGGAGTTTGGGATTGGATTAATAGTCCAATAAAATTATTTATCCGATATTTGGTTAAACAATTAAAATACGGACTAACAATCCATCCGGATATGGTATCCCACATATGATGGGCTATTCAATCCCACAGAAGGGAGTGCGATATAAATTGGAGGATTAAGCTAAAGTTTGGACTATTAGTTCCTCTTTGTAATCCAAACGTAATCCAAACATAGGATAGGAAACACAATCTAAAAGGATTCGTAATCCTAGGACTATTAGTCATGGAAATACTAATCCAACCTATTCCAGTCCGCCCAAACAAATATGGCGTTAGTGTAATTGGTTATGATATGAGATTTTGTGATAGTTGGTTATGACACTTTTGTGATTTTTTTTGTTATGACACAAATTAATTTTAGTTACGATATTTTGTAATGTCTGGTTATAAATTAAGTGACTTTAATTATGAGATTTTATCGTGTTTGTTATGAATAGATAATTTTGATGATAAACTTTTTGTAGCAATTTTTTTTTTTATGAATCAATTTGGTTTTTCAAAACCTAAATTGATAAAAATTATAAACTTTTGGAACTCAAATGTTAAGAACATAATAGATGTCCTTTTAAAAAGGGTGTATAATAGTTGCATCCATATGTATATTAGTAGAGAATGTCAGTGTGTTTTTTTTTATTTTATTTATCATTGTGCATATTTGGTTCAACCAAAGCATGATGACTCCTAAGATTATTCCCACTTCTAACCCTTTTCCTTTTGTCTCCTCACAGTGACCCCACTCTCTTCCTTTCTCATCTCCAAGAGAGAGAAAAGAAAACAAAAAGTTTGAAAGTGATTTTCAATTATTGGAGAAGTTGATTTCCATCCAAATAACAAAAGAGGCTCCATCTTCTTGAAAGCTAAAAAGGGCTTTTGGGGACAAGCTGACAGAGCATTATTACCCAACCTATTATTCCTCCATACACACCCTTCCATGTGCTAGTTTCAGTCCCCTTTTGGACTCTCTCTGTCACCCTTTTCTTCTTGAACTATACTTTGGCCTTCTCTCCCCACACACACTAGAACAAAGTACCAATTAGATTGGCCACACAACCTTTTCCTCTTGGACTATTTGCCTTTCCTCTGATTCTCCTAATCATCCTTGGAATGACTTATTATCAACTGAAGTTCCAAGGGACCTTCTAAATACATTCACTTCACATTAAAATCTTTTATTTTGAACATGTGAGTTTAGCGTGAGATTATGGTTACCCCTGACCAACAATTAATTGTTATTCTTATGTGTTTTTTTTTTTTGGCAAAATACTCATATAAATGTTATGATTCTTTGTGTATAAACCAATCACAATTAAAGAAGGCATCACGTGGCAATATTTATATAGTATACAATAACTGCTTGTATATTTAGATAATATTAAGAGTATCGTACCCAATAAATCCTTCTATTTTGTACCTAATACACTCTTAACAGTTGAATCATGTGTCAAGATTTAAATAATTTGAAAATCTCACAAGAGATTTTTGAGACAAGGAAAGAAAGAAATTTGAGGACAAATATGAATAATGGAAAAGACTAAAATACCCATAGACACATGCTCTATATATATAGGCATGCAGCTACATGAAACAAATTAGAGACCCTTTCCACCACCCTGGTTTCATGGTTGAAACAACACTTGTTCAAATGGGTAGGGAAGAAAGCAGTGATCAAATAGTCATCCATTCCTCCATTGCATTGCTGCAAGAGAGGTTTAGGCAACTGCAGAGAGTGAAGGACATGAGACAGGGAAGAGATCTTGTGAGAACACTACCGGATCAAAATGAGCCATCCAAGTTGTTTTTCAGATCAGAATTGTTGAACCCCCCACCTAGGTCACCTCGCCAAATTTCTGTGTCTCTCTGTCCAAACTCACAAATCAAGAACAACAATTTCCCGGACATTGAGACACCAGACCTGATGAAATCTTGGCTCTCTGACAAGTCCTTTGCTCGTGCTCCGCCAATCAAATTCAATGACTCTAACTCTGATGTTGATACTTCTCTTCATTTGTAGACTAAAATATACTCTTTTGTTGTTCTTTTTTGGTGATGCTATGTTGGGTTAAGCTGCTTTAGTAATAATTATTATGCTAATGTATCTTTATGAAACTATCCAAGGTTTTGATGCATTACCTTTGATTATCAATGCTAGAAAATGGTTTTTGAGCATATATGGTTCTTAACTTTTCTTGATGGAAATTAAGGAATAAGTGTAGCATTTTAGTTTTATTGGACTTGTTTCATTACTACAGTTGAATGGTTGATGGGTTGATAAGAAATTACATCATCAAGATTCAAGATTAACATTTGAAAAAGAAATGAATAATTCAAATTCTAATCCATGGCATATTCAGAATTGTTTGTGCTGTACAAAGTGCATGACAGATGATACTTTTGGGTGTAATAATGTAAGAGTGCGCTATTCAAGCCTAAAAATTTTACTCATTTTTCAAATCCAATTATGTGAATTAAAATATTTAAGACAAATTCATCTCTCATATCTTTTCTAATTATTTACCAATCATTTCATTTACATAACATTGAATCCAAAAATTGGTTTACAAAGTGGACTTGTATATCGTTTTTCATAATGTAATTATTATCATACTAAATAAATAAACTCTTTTATTTGAAGAGAGATAAATTGTAGGATATTAATGTTACTCTAGACAAAAAAGTAAACTCATTTTTCAAATCCAACGATGCAGCAATCTATTAAAATATTTAAGACAACTATTTCTTTTATATCTTCTCTAATCATTAATCAATTATCTTACTTACACATTATTGGGTCTAGAAAATGAGTTTACAAAATGGAATTGTATATCGTTTTTCAAAATAGTATTAATTCAATTCAATCCTTGCCACAACTATTAGGGAAAAAAGAAAAATGATATACATTATCATATTTCTTACTTCTTTTTCTCAGTCTAAGATATAAGAAAGTGAATCTCATATGCATTTATGAATGTGATTCTCATTGTTTCATATGTAGGAGTGAGAAAAAGAGATAAAAATAAGATTATCTATAGCATTGCTTCTAAACATAATATAAGAACTTATATATTTTCTCGTTCTCTATCCTACATTTTGAGAGATTATATGGTGGTCTTAGAGTAATACTCAGCATCATTTCTCACTTGATATTTGTTAATTTATCTCTCGAAAATCCAACAAAAAAATATTAAGGATGTGTTTGGTTTGTTTTTTGAGATAAATTTTCAAAAAAAAATTTGAGAAGAGAGTTTAGGAATCTTTTTGGGTTTTTTGGTTATATATTTTGAAAATAGTTTTGGAGTTTAGGAGTTTGGGATGATTTGATATTTTATTGTAGTTAAGTAGATGTATGTGAGAAAAAAATGATTGAGAATAAGAGAAGAGAGAGAAAAAGTGGTTTTGAAAATAATTTTTCAAAAAATTTAAACCAAACAAAATTTTGAAATTTTTTCTTAAAAATTATATTTTAAGATGCAAACCAAACAAACCCTAAAGTCACATTGTTTAAGTAACAATATTAAAACATCACGTGAAGTTGCCCACCAAATAATTTCTCCTTCATATTACTACCATTCTCAAGAAAATAAATAAATAAATAAATAAATAAAAATAAACATATCCAGAAAAATATATATATATATATATATTTTTAAAAAAATAAATGATCTATATTTATTATAAATATGACTTATATTTTATTAATTTTAAATCTACATTACACATTCATTTTCGAGATAATATTCCCGACACAGTTTCATGTTGTATAGCATTGTTGTTTCTTCAATGGTTGAGGCACCAAAGTCTAACCCTATTTTCTTTCATTTCAAAAAAATGATTATATCAAAGCTTGAACATAGAGAGGGGTAGCTATATAGCTTTTGGAGTGAGAATATTCTATTTGTGAACATTAATTTCTTAAATAAGGAAAAGGTCTTTTGGTGGTGGGGAAATTACTGTACTCCCTCACTAAACCCAGTCTCTGACTCTCCACCTATAATGTGTTGATCCAAAAAATACATCATGACCTAACCACCGACGGACAAGTTTAAGACTACCCTCTCTCTCTCCTCTCTCTCTCTCTCTCCACATTTATATTGCATGGATAATTAGCAATGAAATTCAATGCTTGAAAGCAACCAAAATGAGGCCTCATTTATTGAGTCCTTTACCCATTACGTTTTTTTAAGTAACATTGTTACTTTATATAAGCAAAACAACTCACTTTTCTTTCTTTTTTCGACGTGAGACTATAAAATAAAAGTTTACAATTATTTGGATGGGAAGTTTATTTCTAATCAAACAATCTCAGTCGCTTAATCTTTAATTAGATCAATATTTAGTTTATTTCGAATCAAACAAATTTAAACAATATATTTTGATAAAACTACTCAATAAAACTGTTAAAATCGCGGCTAAACAAACGAATCAGTCAAATAAAAAATGATTCAGCCTAATCAATTAGGTCTTGACCAACAACTTACACAAAAATTAATTAATTAAAATTTTATTTTAAAATTTAAATTATATTAAATTGAAACATGTATAACATTACAATATTAAATGAAAGTATAAGATTCACTTTATATGAGTAAAATAATTCACTTTTTTCTTCTTTATTTTAAAAGTTAAATTATATTAAATTGAAACATTTACAACACTACAATATTAAATGGGAGAATAAGATTCACTTTATATGAGTAAAACAATTCATTTTTTCCTTCTTGTCCCGATGTAGGATTATCAAATAAATTATCGACTAATTAGCTAGCTAATGGAGATTTTCTTAATTATTTAAAATTAAGAAAATCAAGAAAATTAGTATGAGATATTGGAGCTCTCACCGTGCTTCTCACTGAAAACAATTAGCTTTATCAGTTAGGTCAAATGACCAACCAACTTATACAAAATTAATTAATTAAAACTTTTAAATGTTGTTTTAATTTAAAATTTTAAACTGGTTTGAATTGAAACATACACAACACTACAACGTTAATGTTCATTTTATAGAAGTAAAATAACTCATTTTTTTTCTTTTTTTGGTATGAGATTATAAAATTAAAGTTAACAATTACTTGGACTGAAAGTTTATTTTCAATCAAATAATTTTAGTCGTTCAATCTTTAATCAGATGAATCTTTAGTTTTTTTCATATCAAATAAATCTAATAAATATATTTTGATAAAACTATTAAAATCACGGTTAAACCAACAAATCAGTCAAATAAAAAATGATTTAGCCTAATTGGCTAGGTCAAAAGACCAACCAACTTACACAAAAGTTAATTAATTAAAACTTTTAAATTTTATTTTAAAATTTAAATTATATTAAATTAAAACATGTACAACACTATAATATGAAATGAGAGTATAAGATTGACTTTATATGAGTAAAACATTTTACTTTTTCCTTATTTTCCCTATGTGGGATTATCAAATAAACCATGGACTAATTAACTAGCTAATGGAGATTTTTTTAATTATTTAAATTTAAAAAAATCAATAAAATTAGTACTATGAGATATTGAAACTCTCACCACACTTATCACTAAAAACACCCATTTTCTTTATAATACATAGATAGATTATCTCCAAAACTATATAGGCTCGACTCCTCCATATATTTTTAAAAGTTTAAATGGTCTTACTATATCTTGGCTTTATTGACAAAGGTAAAACACCAAGGTCTGTTTGTTTTAGTCCAAAAGCCATGGGATTGGACTAGTAATCTCATAGGTTTCACAAAAGTTGTGTTTGGTTTGAACAAAGACCTTAGAACTAGTAGTCCCTTGAGACTATTAATATCCTCGAAAGAGGATATTAACAGTCTCATGAGAGAGGTGAGATTGGTATTCTAATCCCATGGGATTGGTATTAGAAGGGAAAAGATAATTTTGCTCTCTATTTATAAATATAGCAAAGTTACATTTTATATAACAAGGACTTTTATGTAATTTCATATATTTAGTCTCAACCAACTAATATCACCATACTAGTACACAAATAAACACAATTTTATTAGTTTTCGCATTAACAATCCGTACACTAATAATCTCCTCACTAACAATTACACTCAATCTAATTCTAAAAACAAACAAGTCCCAAGGGCATTGGGAAATATTTTTGAAAGAAGTGTATAAGAAAATAAACATTACATGTTACAATTCAACATGTATAATAGAAAACATGTATTACTTAATATGAATGTAAGAAAATCACTTGTATATATATTAGGGGTGGGCGCGTGTTGATTGCGACTATGGAACCTCTAATCTGTCATTCTTCCACCAGATTGGCAGATTGGAGAAAATCAATTCGTATCCTTCCACCAATTCGGTGGATGTGGATTGAGCGGATTGGCGAATGGATTCAAATTGGTTTGGCGGTTTAAAATTTTATAAATTTTTAACATAATTCAACTTGTGCACTTCCTAAAAAAAAAAAAGTATTATAGTCAATGACTTAAAAAAGTATTACAATCACTGCATGTTTCATCTAAAGAAAGAAAGTTTGAAACTTTAAAATATTACAATCACAGTATGTCTCTTCTACATAAAGTATTACAATCTGTGGTTCTTAAAATATAAAAATAATTCAAACCATCAAAATTATGAACATAGTAGTAGTAGAGATTGTATGCCTCTATATTATCGCATCTATATCTGTTTTTTAAAACAAAAACTAACCAACATCTATCATCTTTTTTATTTATTATTTTTAGAATTAGATTTAAAAACAAAAAAATATAGAAAAATAATACATTTATTTTTTTCAATTCAAAAAATATATTCAAGTTGAAAATTATTTTTCAACAGAATATATTCAATAGAATGTTTAAACTCTTTTTCAATTGAAAATACAAATTGTAGTGATGTGGTTTGGAAATACTCTTGGATCCTGAAGGATGTTCTTGATCCTCTGATTGCCACCTAAAAAAGGGGATTAACACTTCGGTCGGGGGTGTCGGAATTAGCACTCTAACAGACAAGTTAATATATGTCTCGTTTGCTTTTGTCTTAAG